CGGGTTTGCGGGGGGGGGGCGGAGGGGAGGAGGAGGGAACGGAGAGACCGCCTGCGCATGCGCCTCAGCAGTGCCAAACGCGAGGGCGTGTCCGAGCCCAGCGCAGGGCCAGGCTGCCATGGAGACAGCCCACGCCTGGAACCCGCCACAGCTGCGCTGCTGACTCCTGCATGCTCGGGGGAAGGGGGTTGCCCCGTGCCTCGCCGTGCCTCAGTTTCCCCTTCTGAAGGGGGGTGCCTGCTCTCGCCTCCCCGGGGCGCCCATCGCACTCAACCCGCGGGTGCACTGGGAGCTTGCACTGGTCCTGCCTGCCTTCCCCTGTGTGCCCCCACCCCCGCCGGCCGGTTCGGGGACCCCCGTCCCTCCGGGTACTTCCACCCGCCAGGAGCATGGGGGTCTCCTCGCAGGGGTCCCGTCCTGCTGCAGGCGCTGCCTTGTCCTTCACAGGAGCTGTAAACCCAAGTGTCCCTGCGGTCCCGGCCCCGCTCCAGTCTGCTGGTTCCCTTCTGCTTTGCCGACAGCATCTCCCACGGCTCCACCGGGGTACGGGTGTTTCTGTTGCTTCCTGTCCCGGGTCGCAAGATCTTCAGGGCAGGGTCTGTCGGTGTTGCTCCAGGTGCCCCAGCGCCTTCTCCGACAGGGCCCTGATTGACCGATGTTGGTGCTCCCACAGTATGGATCATAATCAGCCCTGCAACATTGCTGTGAGCAGCCCTGTGTTCCTCTGCAGATTTGGCTGCATTTTAGTGGTATGTGACGTGGGCACTGTACCACATCCATGTGCTGCCGTCCTGATCTGGGTGTCTCCCTCACTGGAGTTCTGGGGAGCTTTGCATTATGAGATCTGTGGTCTCAGAGGCTTTTTGGCATACAAAGTATAAGGTTTGCCCGCAGCCACCTGCTCCCTGGTATTGGGCAGGCTGGCATTAGGAAGCATGGGTTCTCTGATGTGGAGGATTGACGGTCTTGTCTCCTTTGTTCCTTGGCAGACGTGGTGGACTCCGGACTGATGGCGTCAGGCACGGCGAGCCGCTCTGAAGACGAGGAGTCGCTTGCGGGACAGAAAAGGAGCTCGTCACAGGTCTCAGGTGCCATTCCCAAACGTCGGAGCTCCTCCAGGTACCTGGGAAGTGCCAAGGACAGTGAGGAGGGGGTGGGGTCCCTTGCATCATGGAGGAACCCTCTCTGGCTGTAAGGATGGATCAGTCCAGTGCAGGCCCAGAGAAGGGAATGAGACCTGGGGCTCCTTGATACCCGGTGATGAACCAGGTGCTGCAAACTCAGCACTATTCCTACAAGCCTGTGTCAGCCCTGGAGCATGGAAGAGAAGCTCTCTTGGCTGCAGTGATGGTCAGCCACAGGGCACCAGAGGGCGCCCCACCCATCTTGCAAGCTGTTTGGAGGGGGGGGCTGACTCCAGGTAGCTAGCTGTGCAGCTGGTCAGCAGGTGGAGGGGCTTTACCTGAGGCCTGTTGCGTTTTTCCCACCAGGTTTATCAAGAGGAAGAAGTTTGATGATGAGCTGGTAGAGAGCAGCCTTGCCAAGTCCTCCAGCCGAGCCAAGGGGCCCAGCGGGGTGGAGCCAGGCCGCTGCTCGGGCAGCGAGCCCTCCTCCAGTGAGAAGAAGAAGGTTAGGGGGAGAAGAGGGTGGGAAGCGTTTGGCAAGGCCTGGTGCCCAGTGCAGAGCAAGCCCCTAGTCCCGCTGCCTGGCAGCACCTGATTCTGGACGTTGGGGAGGAGACACTGTGCTGTGGGAGGGGGGTTCTTCCTGACCTGCAGCTGGAAGTCAGCCCTGAAGCCTGAGCATGGAGAGCTTGGGTGGCTTGATCCCTGATGAGGAGGGGAACAGAGAGCCGTCATCGCTCAGTAGCTCCTGCAGCTTCCTTGGGGGACGAATACCCTGTTCCTCTTGCCGGTGGATGGCAGAGCCGGGCCCAGTCAGTATCATTCGCTGCCTGAAGCAAATTCGCTTCCCAGGCCCGGGTGGCAAAGCACGGTCGGTGCCCAGACGTTCATTCCCTGGTCGTGTCCTGCTGAGGAGCTGGGGCAGCGAGCCGCCTGCTGGAGAGGGGCTGGGCTGGGCGGGGGGGGGGGGCGGGGA